ATGTGCGCGATTAATTGCTGCTCCATTAACTCTTAGTGACGTCAGGACTACTTTGTTTCTGACGAAGAGCTTAAATCTATTATGCGGTTTCCTCCTTGAATTTATGAAGCTTAAGACAAAAAACTTTTATCGCTTAAACTTTTGAAGCACCAAGGAGGCTTCTAGACTGGTTGATAAGTTAATTATGGTAAAGAACCCGTTGAAGTTCAGTAGGGAATGCTTTATTTTGTATCTTCTTCCTTTCTTTCATCCCTTTCATGTCGTTCTCGCCTTCCGCTCGCTTCCATAAATGTTTAGTTGTTTTGCCTCGCGCGTAGAAACACATTTCTCCGTGTAAATATCAGCTTTAGACCGATTTCAGTCAAAATCAGCATATGTTTACATCTTTTAAAATAATTCTCCAGTATAGAATTTATTGACAGTCCGTTCAGAGAAACTCAGCAAAAACAGTTTTGTTATTGATTTCATGAGGAACGTATACAAAGTCGTGTTCATGCACCTGCGAATTTATGTTTAGTCCACCCACCTCGCTCAAGTGCACATTAAGTTGCCTATATCATTCGACATGAACAAAGATCGAGTTATATCGACCTTGCCCCTAGCAATATCTAGCAACGACAGTATTGTATGGGAAAGTAAGATTAGAACGTTGAGGGTCTTTGTAAAATCGGTAAGAATTTATGGATATATTTGTGGTGATTGAAATTGTATATATTAAATATAATTTTAACTGCGCATCCTATCGAACTGTGTAAATAAGTAGAAGCAGTTTCATTAAGTTTTGTTTTATTTTGGAAAGTATCTTTCATGTGCTGACATGTAGTGATTGTACAATAGGCCTGCGCTATAACATAACCTTAAGACTGTTACATGATGCGTATATATTTGCACAAACAATTACGTTTCTAGCTGTGATGACCGTAATGGCAGTTTCCATCAATGAAATATGTGAGAATACCAAACTTGCAAGGGAAATGGCATTAATGGGAAACTACGAAACTGCTGGTGTCTACTATCAGGGAGTTGTTCAACAAATTCACAAACTCCTTATTAGTATTGCAGATCCTACAAGGAAAGGAAAGTGGCAACTTGTAAGTAATACATTGTGAGTTGTTCTTTTTTTAAGTTGCAGGGATTGTTTGTGGCCCCACTTAGTATGATACATCCATTAGTATAGTGACCATGCATTAAGAATAGTTATTATTTGTAGTTTTCCTTATCCTGTGATCCCAACTCCTACACAGAGGATTTTTTTAACAGCCTTTTATATCTGTAATATGTGTTACAGGTGCAACAACAAATAGCTCAGGAGTACGAGCAAGTGAAGGCCACAACCAACACGCTTCAGCTGTTGAGGGTTGACACTCATGTGGACAGACCGATTGGTAAGAAGGTTGATTTTATTGAAGAAATGGGTCTATACACATAAAAGAAGTATAAGTAGGCATTATAAAATCCTGTGAACATACTTACTTCATGGAGCCAAGTCCTTCCTGAGAAGCCAACAGTCACTCAGCCCCTGTGAACATACAAAATATGAATATGGCTGTCTTGTGGGTTGTTGTGCTGTGTAGTCGGGTAGAAGTTTACCGATGTGTAGAGGTGCTTGCTGCCTCAGTCATCAGGTCCAATGAATAAAAATTGTGGAGGCCATCATCTATATTTATCTGTTCATTTTTGTTAGTTCTAGTACCTATACTGTGTTCTCACATACCTTTAAACCTGTCTTCTTTGTTTTTAGTATGCAATATATGCATATAAAGCAAGATACAATAATGGTTTTATATTGTGGTCTGAATATCAGTGTTTGGAATTCATCGCTGTATGAATATTACACACAGGCCTAGCATTGCGCAGTACGCCATTTGAGGAGCCGACCCGGGATCCTACTGCTTGGTTTGGTGGCCCTCCTAGGGACCCAGATGTTTGGCCGCCGCCACCAGCTCGAGACCCTGATGTCTGGCCGCCTCCAACTCCTGTTGAACACAAGTGAGTCTCTCTGTATATTTTGTTTTATGGTGTCATTTAGTTTCCTGGATAATGACATAATATATCATGTCACAGTTGTAGATGTTATCCTAAGACTGATATTTGGTAACTTTTTTGATTCTATCATTGGTAATTCTTTCAATATATTCTTTCCAATTGTATCAGTGAAGTTGTAATTTGTTTTTATAGGCCATCAGACTGTTTAGGGAAGGTTGTGTGATACGTGTAGCACACCAGAACTTGTGCAGAGAACATATTTCAGTTTTTATCTACATACTTAGGTCCCTCTTATATAGAGCCATGATGTTATTGATATGATTCCACATTATAGGTCAGAAGAATTATAGTTTGATCATTTCGAAGGTCCCATATAATTACCCAACGTTTTGCAATAAACTGGACCACATTGTAGCAGGGCCTGCTATATATATAATGTCTTCTTTTGCCATGCAAGGAAAGTTAGTAATTCCATTGTGTTATAGGCCAGCTCCTCATATCAAGACTGTGCGGTGTCAGGCACGTAAGAATGATACTGTTAAATCCAGTGCACGACCTCAGAGAACAGCCAATACAGGGAAAAAGCCTGATCCAAAGTCCAATAAGAAGGATGACAAACTAAAACCTGTCAAGAAAGAGGACAAGAAAGAAGATAACAAGGTAAGGTTGCGATTTGAATTTCCAGGAAGTGAAGTGAAGTGAAAGATAACATTTTGGAAAGAGTCAGCAAAAGGTCCAATAATTAGGCTCATGTATAAATAAATACAGACATTAATAAATAACTATGAAGCAATGATGGAAGATGTTCAACCCTTAGATTCCTCCCTTTCTTTCCATACTTATAAAAATAAAACCACTTTCTAAATTTATTCCTGTTTCTGAGCTTCCAAAGAAGGCAGTAAACCTTGTATTTTGAAAATTTAGTGGTAAATCTCAGAATATTGAAGTTAATCATTTTTAATTATATTTTGTCAGTGAGTAAATTTATGTCATGTGGTTGGATTGCATTATATCATACTATGTTACGACACAATCCGTCATCTGCCAGTTTACAATGACATAGATAATGGATCTAGATCTGTAGAAATTGAACACTATATGAAGGAAAATCTTAAATTAAGAAACATTAAATGCGGATCTGGATGTGAATGTGGATCTGATGATGTGTAATTTTCAGGAAAAAAGTGACAAAGAGAAAGAAGAAATTGAAGAAGAAGAGAGGAGATTTGAAGGTTCAGGGTATGACCGTGATCTGATAGAAATGTTGGGTAAGTGTTCAGTGGGTGCCACATTAACACAAACTTAAAACAAGAATGCAGAGATTTACTCTGATTTTGAGTGTCCAAATTTTTCACATGTATTTGCTATTTTATGTATGTGATTGACCTTGATAATTCAGTCACCAGAGCACACATTTCAGGATCGTATTGAAATAGTTCTTAGAGAAACAGGTGTAAAGGGATGGGCTGAATCCAAGTGGTTCAGGATTTGGTCCAGTGGCAGACTTTTGTGAGCACTAGTGAACCGTAGGGTTCTGTAACAGGAGCGGCAGATCTCTTGACCAGCTAAGAACTATGAACTTTTCAAGGGTGATCCTGCATCATGAATTCATGTTGAACTTGCCACGTTTTCTAACGTACATGTATATGAATTTGTATTTGCAGAAAGGGATATAGTGCAGAAGAATCCCAACATCCATTGGGATGATATTGCAGACTTGCGCGAGGCCAAGAGATTGCTTGAAGAGGCTGTTGTCCTTCCTATGTGGATGCCAGATTTCTTCAAGGTAATATTATCAAAGCAAGTTAAGCCTCCAGTCTTCTCTTACATTTTGGATGGGTGTGTATTGCTTGCGTTAAAGTAGTGGTCTGCCATGAGATATTTGTATCGTGATTTAATGTGCTGCAGTAAGTGGTAAAATGTTTAATATTTGAAAAGTGGAATGGTTTAAGTTTGGACATTTATGGCACTATTTTATGTCTTGAATGGTTTAATGTTACCACTTGGGAGTTGATTGTTACTTTGCTGTATGCAAGGGCATTCGCCGACCATGGAAAGGGGTGCTGATGGTGGGTCCGCCAGGGACGGGGAAGACCATGTTGGCCAAGGCTGTGGCTACCGAATGTTGCACCACATTTTTCAATGTTTCCTCTTCCACCCTCACTTCAAAGTATCGCGGCGAGTCGGAGAAACTAGTCAGGCTGTTGTTCGAGATGGTAAGTTGTTATATTAGACTGAAGTGCACCGAGGCTACTGTAAGAGGCACGCCGATCTCTTAGTTTTTGTTATCATTAATTTTCTGCATATGAGCTATGCATTTAGTCTGTTCCTTTTGATTGTCATTTACTAAATTGTTTCGAATGTAGTCTTCTAAGTGAATATCAGCTGATATCTTCAGTCTTTTCATTTCTGTGTGAAAGCTCTGAATTGGCCGTTCACTTTGTTTTCTTTCAGGCCCGTTTCTATGCCCCCAGCACAATATTTATAGATGAAATTGATTCTCTCTGCTCCCGAAGGGGGTCAGAATCAGAACATGAAGCATCAAGAAGAGTGAAGTCAGAGCTCTTGGTTCAAATGGATGGCATTAGTTCTAATAGGCAAGTTTGTCTCCGTGAAATATAAAATTCATGTTAGTGATTTAGAGCGATGTGCTGTGCAGATCAGCAAACTGTTTTTATGCCTATCCATAACATAATTATTAACATATGTTATGTTTGGGAAGACGGTGTTGAGAAGAAGATAACAGGAGAATAGAGAATGTTACATTATGAGAAAGTTATATTCTTCAGCAGAAACAGTAAAAGTAAAAAGTAAAGCTGTCCCACTATACGCCATGTAGGCGCTTGGGGGGAGTGGAGGTATAGCTCCTACTCATTCTCGACCTCAGCACTAGATGGGGGTGAGTGGTCAGCATCATGCCCCGGCCGCGCTTTACCCCTGGGAAAGTACCCTGGCACCCATTGGACAGGAGGCTGGGTGGGCCCCAGAGCCGGTCTGGACACAGAGGCTAGAGGAAAAATCCCCGGTTGCCCAGTCCATAGCCAGTCACTATACCGACTGAGCTACGCCAGCTCACACCAGAGAACAGTACAATGAAGTGTGAAAGTTTCTGGTGATGGTGCATTATTTTCTGTAAAATTGTTTTCTTGGACATTGTCCATCACCTAAATTCATAATAAAATCACATTTCAGGAGCTGAATTCTGCTTTGATCTTCTGGTAAAAAGGGGAAGAGGATATAAACCCTATCTGTTGGACCCCCTGACTGAGTTAGTCTTAGACCTGGACTTAGTCAAGGCTTCAGTTGGTATCATGGAGAAGCAACCTGAAGCTTAATCTATCTTTTGGTTTCCTCTTACATGAACTGGTTTATTATTCTGCTAATGTGAATGTGTTATTAACAGAGTATGGTTTTGGTATTTCAGTGAAGATCCTGGAAAGATAGTTATGGTTTTAGCAGCAACAAATTTCCCTTGGGATATTGATGAAGCTTTACGGAGAAGATTAGAGAAACGAATATATATACCGCTTCCAAACAGTGAGTACAGTGAGATAGATATTTGTGACAGTTGAAAGAGGATTGCATTGATGCCGGCCTTACATGCAACTTTGTTCCAGGCGATGGGCGGGAGGCGCTGTTAAGGATTAATCTTCGAGAAGTAAAATTGGATCCAGATGTGGATCTGAAAGATGTTGCAATGAAATTGAAAGGTTACTCAGGAGCTGACATTACCAATGTCTGCAGGTCAGTTGCTAGTATAGCAAGCAAACCAGGAGAATGGACTTGGAAGCTGCAGTGTTATTACTGAACTTAATCTTTAACTAATGTTGACTTTGAGAAGAAGCTTATATTAAACAATGAACAAAGAAAAATACAAAAAAATTGGAATTTTACTGTGTTATAGAACAATATTTTCTCATTCTTAGATATCTTCCTGAAAAGTGTTGTTTGAATTGATTGTATTTTCTCATTAGAGTAGATCCCATCAGAGCTCATTCTTTTTTGAAATGGATATCAAGAAGCATGAATTTATTTTCTTGTTCTGTTTATAAGTCTTGTACCTTCTGCAGAGACGCGTCAATGATGTCGATGAGACGCAAGATCGCTGGTCTTCGTCCTGATCAGATAAAGCAGTTGCCAAAGGAGGAACTGGATCTGCCTGTCACAGTGCAGGACTTTGAAGAAGCCATGGCTAAATGTAACAAGAGTGTATCTAAAGAAGATCTTGATAAGTATGAGAAATGGATGAATGAGTTTGGGTCTACATGATGTTTTTTTCTGAGATAAATTATTGGCCTGCCTTGCCATACTTCTAATTGAAAGACAAAATTTGAAGTGTGAAACAGCTACGAAGCAACTCGGTACTTACGCTGTATGTGGAAAATTTTATTGTGCCGTTTTATTTTTTATTGTATAAAGTTTAAATAATAGGATGAAGAGTAGTTCCTGATGTGATTCAAGAAGTTGATTTGAATCCATCGATGATTTTTTTTCTATACCTGTATGAGAGTAGTGAGTTTTCCACATAAAAATGTGAACAAAATTGCATTGGAGAAATGAACTGGTGCAGTTTTCTACATAACCAGCTTACTTACACGACATGTATTTTTTTTTTTATGAGAATTTGTTTACATTTGTATTTTGAAGAAGTCTACAATTTCAGACCAGGGGGTTTTATCTTCCATTATATCCCATCTGACCACGGATTCTGAGGAGAGGAGGCAAGGGATAGACTGTGTAACTGTATAGCTTACATCACCAGTCAAAAGAGCAGAGCTTTCAAAGTTCGCCACCAGCAGTCCTTGGTCAGACGGGATGTAACGTTAGTCTTTGCTGTATCAGTGACATTCAAATTCCTGTATAAGATGTGCTGGCTACTAACAAAATTTTTAAAAATCTCTGAAAGATTTTCTTTTCTTTGTTTGTCATTAACATTATATTGCTTTCAGGTCATTAATTTAAGATCTGATATTACTAAATAGAAACAATCTTATTAACATATGTAATTATTTTATGTGGATAACCACATTTTAGTTTAAATCAGTTTACAGCATATAATTAGAATTTATAACTTTTAAACCTCCTGGGCAGAGTTGCAACCAGCGATTTTGTGGGGAACTCTAATAGGTAAGCCATCAGAGTTTTTAGGATTCGTTAACAATATTTGTACTTGCTTGAGATCGGATACTCATTTCACTTAATAGTATCTCTGAGTAGGTTCACTAATAAAGAAGTTCAGTGTGCATTTAACTTGTGCCTACTCTTGTAACAATTTAAGTGCCTTCCATGAGGGCTTGTAAGGATCTCATAAGAGGATTTTAGAAAGGATGCATGAACAGTTTGAAATTCAAACAGTTTGCTGTCATGATGTGTGGTTTAAGTTTAAGTTAAAGGAAAGTACAGTCTGTTATTTATAAATTTCTGCAATGAGGAAAGCTAATCTCTTGCTCTCAGATTTTCACAAAATTTGAGTCTCATCTGTACCAGAGAATTTATTGTAATTTCATTTAAGATTCTACATTTTAATTTTGCATTATTTTAATGTTGTTTTTGCAGACTTTTTTATGATATTTATATGGGAACTTCTTGATAAAATGTATGCACAAATTAGTACTTGTATACCAGAACTGGGTTGCCATAATTAATTTTTAAGAATATCTTTTTTTAAAGTACTTACAAGCAGAAAAATGTATCATTAATGAGAAAATTTCCTTTAGTACACACTGTGATTGAGGAAATGGCCTTGAATCTGACTTCACAGCTGAGTGGTTAACATTCATTGTATTGTGGAGGTCCTGCATACAATTCTTGGCCTGGACATCAGTTTTGATGTTATAAAGCTATGCAATTGAGAAAGCATCATTTGCATAAACTTATTTTTGTGCAGATGCTGTGAATTATACCCTGTGACCTGTTCTACTTTGAAATTAAATCTGGATTCAGACATTTTGTAGGACTCTGGATGAGGATCAGACCATCACGTGGCCTCTGCATACGCAGAGCAATAGAAATGTCTGATACACATCCATACTGCAAGTGGGATTTGAATATACTTACTTAAGTGTAGATGTTACTGCACTTTGTAGTTAGAGATATGTGAAATTGTTGAAGTATGATGCCCCATTTATGGCAGAGTTAAAGTTTCTTTATGTATTGTGTTTGCACATCCTCAAACATTAGAGAAATTTAAGTGTGATATGCACAGAAGGTTTTTATTTTTTAAAAAAAAGGAAATGTCTTATAAAGTAAGTGGTATAACAGCAAGATGGAGTGAGCATTTACCAAGAAATGGTCACAGTATTATAAAATAATAATTTTCATTCACTCCGTGTAAGAGCTGCAATGAAACACCTGGCCACCCTCTTCTGAAAAATTTTCTGCGTCATAAAAAAAATATAGCTCTCAGTTGAGATGGTTAACCATTTATGTCAACCAGACTATGAAGTTGACAACAGACTCCATATAGTGTTTATATCTAATATAAGTGGAACTTTACGTGCTCCTTATATGTGTTATTAGCTCCATGTATAACTGTACCCTTGAAAAAAGTATTTATCATGCACTATGTCCGTCAGTAAAGTGATGGGCTGCCGACTGGTATAATATGATAGGAATCAGGAGTTGGACTGTATAGCGCATATGCTTATCTCTCGTGCTGTGCCATATCTGTCTGAAAGTGATAATAATATAGATCGTTATCAGTGGCTCTATAGTCCTTGAAGGAACCTGGTAAGGTTTCTTAATCTTTCTGTTAGATCTCCACGAACGAGGGATCAGCCTGTCGCAAGGCCATGCCTTGAGTGGGAAATAAGGTGCTGGAATATAAGAATTGTCCTGTTTAGCTTAAATTCCAAAATTCTTAGAATTTTATACTTTTAATTAGAATGTCTCAGTAATCCTACATAAGGTGCTTCATCTTGCCTTACTGTTTTGTGTGCCATGAAAAATACCATAATTTATTTTCATTTTATGTCTGGTTCCATGTGGTTTTTTAAGGTCATACTAATTCCACAGGCACAAACATGTTGGTATCACTGAGAGACATTATCTGCACACTTCAGTTCACATTTGTTCAGCAAATTAACTACATATTTGTTAATCATATGTTTACATATTACGTTTAGTGAAGTTGAAGGCTTACAATGGGGTTGGCTTCATGCTCTGGTTGATTTACCTGCAGGCAAGTGTTCGTGGTATATTTTGGATATGAATCTGGGTAGGCAGGAAGCGAAAAATCTCTTCCTCTGCTGGAAATTGAACCCTGGTTATCAACTTTATTTATTTAACTGTCCAAAGCAAGTTAAATGAATAAATTGAGAAATGGAAATATCGTACCAATTCCAAAAGAGTGGTCATTTCCTGGTAAATCACATTAATGCGAGTTTAGTGTAATTTGATTCATGTGGTCTGTCAGACAATAAGAATGTGCTAGTCCTCTTATAGCATCATTTAGGAGGAAGTGGCGACTGACTGACTGACTGACTGTCTCATAGCCAGTTTTGAAACCAGCACATCTGTCTGATCTTAGTGTCGCCCTGAGGTGGTAAAAACTTGCTCTTGTACATGTGAAGTGGAGTTCTGAACTAGTTAGTTTTTATTTTAAACTTGGAAGAAAGGTGTAGTAATCGTATAAACTCCAAATTTCTGGATGATTCACAATATAGAGGAAGATGTGTCATAATTTTTGTACTCTATTTGTTTATGGTAAGGCACTTCATCAGGTTGTCAAAGCACTAACGAGATAATGTGATATTTTTGTCATGTTGTAACGCCTTTTGTACATAACACCATGCACTGCCTTCAGCCCAGTAACAGGGTATTATATAAAACATTTCTGAGATGTAAAATATTGCAGTGCAGTGTCTTCAGTCTTGTTCCTAGAGTAAAACTGGACTCATGACTGTTTGTACTCTGACATTTTGACCCATGATTCCTGTGTGTAATCGAATTCTTTGGCCTCCTGGGTCCATGATTTGCTTGACCCATGACACTGATTTTTCTGTGACTCCTACAACTGTACCTTCATTGTGTAACTCGCCCAGGCCCGGTATTGGGCATTGTACTCATCTAGCACAATCCTGTTCATATCTTTGCACCCTCTTTTTCAAATACCTGTTTTAGTATACATTCCCATATAGTCCAAATTGTCTGCAACCTTCATGTCTAACTGCTCATTTACTGATTCCCAATTTAACCACTACAGTAAAAATGTACAAATTTTGAAACATATCATGCATTTTTATCGACTCTTCTACTGTACGTCCTTCCTATTTCCTGTATACAGACTTCCTTAATCAGTACATCTAGAGACTGAAAACTTATTGGGTTGCTTTGGCGATCTAAAACTGTTTGTAAAAGCCATTTCGCTTTGCTTTTGTATAAATTTACCACTTACTGTTGTTACCGTACATTTTGAGAATGCGGCGACTTCCGCACGCTTTAATCATGAGCTCAGCACTTCCGGGTTGGGGTAAGAACCCTGTATACGACAGCACACGAAGCCAGTAGTTATGTTTCTTTAAATCTGCTGTCAAAACTAGACGATCCATTAATCGGCCGTAATAGCATTCCCTTTCAGACAGAGTTCCAGCAGTTCGAATAAAAAAGCGATCAAAATAAAAAAATTCTGATTGACGGACAAAATAGTTGTCAGTTATTTTGCCTCCCCTCCATACAAACATCCGCGTAGCGGTTGTGCACGTTCTTTCACCTCTGGTGAATTCCATTATAGTATGCAGTTGATATGGCGTCATTGACAAATGTTTTCGGAGTTACTGAGTGTTTGTCCACTGTTACACCCAGCTCCTCGTTCGTGTTTGTATTGCTCCAGGCTAATGGCTTGGGTTCATTGCCCTCGCTTAAGCACGTGCTCTAATCAGTCTCGATATGACAGCTTCGATCAATCGAGCAGACCGGAAGTTCCTTCTTTGGGTCGATTTGATGTCTCTTTATGGAATCGTATGTCTATTGTTTTCGTGACCCACTAAACCATCAACAGCAAAAAAACGCGGACATGGGGTTGCGTGCGCTGTTGCTTAGGGTACATGGGCATATGGTACCAGTCATTCTGAAACAACACAAACAAGTGAACGGGAGGGACATTGCAACTTCCTCATATTACCAAAAGAAATATCCGTATGTGCGGTTTCTGATATTTGATTACGACTGCTAAGTACTTAAAGAGTGCACCAGATAGTTTACGAATACATTAAACGGATTCATTCACGGACTGAATAAAATACGAGGAGACATGATGCTTGATTGGTAAGTAGACTTGGTTTTTCATATTTCGTTGGCCTCTCATTAACACTTTATCTCACAAGTGATTCACACGTGAATAAATTTGGTCTCATTTTGGTTGTGTTCGTTAAAGTAGCATAGCATTTGGACAGTATCTCACAGAATTTCATTCATAATTTGGAATAAAACAAATAGGATATATTTATATCAGTAATTGCCATTAGAAGGGTTTCTGTTGAACATGCAGGAAAAGTCAAATATTAGGGTACAGAGAGAGACGAGCTCCTCACATCGGGCAGTCCATTTTATCGTTCCGAAAAGCCTGAAAAACGGAGCCAGCGAAGTAAAACAGATTTCGGTAATGGTCAGTGAATCAGGAACCCAAGGTTCTTCACTGCAGAATTCCCACAGCCAATGTAATAAGATACTGTGAACACGAAACTTGGTTAGTGATTAGCCGCTCCCCGAACCCTTTGATTTTGTTGAAAGCGGAAGTTCTCTCTGAACAAAACTCTAAAGAAAATGTAGGGTACCTGCAGCAATGACATTAATATACAACTTTATCTCTGTAATTAGGAGATCTGATTGAGTCACCCAGATCGTTAGGTAGTTCCTAGCGTGGCCCGATAACCTTATTGCTTTGTGCAACACGTACCCTAATATCGATCAAGAAATCTTGTGAAAGTTTCTTTAAAAAGTTTCATGTTGCACGTTCTTGATTCAGAGGCCAGAGATGGTAGATAACAACGCCTTTTTCGTGTAAAAACTGCACATGTCAGTTCACTATCGGCTCACTAGTCGGCTTGACAGTCGGATTATTTCAACATCTAATTAAAAAGTCGCCATTTAGTTTGGTAGAAGTTTATCGACGTTTCAGAGGTCCTTGCTTCTTCCATCATCAGGACGATGTTCTGCACACAAAATAATCGCCCTTCGAGTCCGGATTCGAACCCGAGGTTTCTCAAATTCAAATCAGGAGCGCCAACCACTGCATGCCGACAGTAGTTGTAATGTTTGGAATAAAATGGATAATTTTCATAGTTAACTGGGGTCCGACGCTGCAGACTGTTGCCACATTGACGATCAGTGACATGGCCGTTGCTGCAATGTGATGCTTTTTTGCATAATCCCCGTATAATAAGAGGCATGTGGCCTTCACGCGTCTCGTAGAAGTGGGTCTCGGGGCTGAATTTGGGTCGTGATACGTACATGCAAATTAAACACAAATCCTATTAACTAGCTCCCCCACTCCATCCACTTCAACCCTTGAGTGGGGGTGGGTTTCTCAGTTTGTAGGACACTTGCCAGTCTACTAGTGTGCGCCGTCTAAAGGAGCAGTGTTCGTGACCAGCGAGCGACAATAGGTAGTGTATCATGTTCTGAGGGATTGAAATTTATTATAGTATTTATAGAATAAATCTTTAAACTACTCTGTTCCAAGTACATTTATTATTAAATTTTGATATTATATTTCTTAATGGAAGATTAAATAGTGGAAAACATAATTCGTCGGTCTAGGTTAAAAGGGTAAGGCCACGCAATTTGTTGAAATAGTTGATGATTGTTTTAAATAATATAAATGCGCAGTATATGTAGCAAGCTAGTTAAAGTCGTACCAATTGTTTACTAGTTTATTTAACGTCATTTTTCGGCTGCATTGTTTAACAGCCTCAAAAGGAAGGATGGCTGGGAATGACATGAAGAGAGAAGTCGAAAGCACAATCTTTCAGCATCGAAAAGACAGAAAATTCTGCCACATTATCCTAAATTCTTACATTCCTTTGTTGTTTTCATACCATCAAATGATACAAGTTAAATCAATCAATCAATCAATCGGCCAGTACACGTGCTCCATATTTTTAAGGTTTGCTTAAAAGCTAATAAATATACAACATATTGATATGTATAATTATGGATTTCCCAACTGTAATTTTTCGTTCGTCGGACTTAGAGGGCCAACTCAGTTTAACCGAAACTAATCTGATCTAACCAAATACAACTCAGCCCAGCCCTAATTGGCTTTACTCGGTGACTTCGTCTAATAGTGACCACGAGTGAAAGAGCAATACTATGGGTGACTCATGTGACTTCGCATGACTTCTTGCTTACTTGAGGTAACCTATTGTGACTTATCTGAGTGTAACGCAATCTAAAGCGGCTTAAAGTCATGAGACCCTACTTGATATGACGTCACATGAATTAACACAGTTCAATTTACTTAGCATCACTTCACCCACCATGACTGCGGATAACTTAATGGAGTATAACTTGACCTAATGTATCTTAACGTGATTGGAACCGACTTCATTAACCAAAATAGACAAAAAAGGAAATAATTCTGGTCTCCAGTGGCCTAAAGTTAATTTATTGAATAAAATTAGCCCTAATTCTTTCTTCTCCTTAAAAGTGATCACTTTCCAAGAGACACATACTTTCAGACACCAATTGAAGTAATTGATTGTCCTAAATTTTTGGGTAGATTTCCGAGTATAGCCGTCAAACTGAAAAGGCCTCCACAACCTTTAATACAACAAGAAATCCACGTAAGTCATGAGTTCGTTTACTGCATTTTCATAATATTCACGTTTTATGTTCACAGTAGTGCAGGCTGTAAGATAATGAAGAGAGGCGAAGTGATAACGCAGGAGAAGGTGGTGCTGCAGCGTGGCGGGGCTCTGTTCGGCACGGGCTCGTTCTTGCCAGTGGTCAGGTAAGGAACTTCAGAGTGGAAGACAAAATGAATTACACGTTGAAGTAACCTTCATGTAATTTCTAAATGCGTTCTTTGTGTAAGTGCATTCGTCATTGACCATGACGTGAATTTCTCGACAATACAGATTATTTTCAGAAGTATTTGAGGTTCTCAAGGAAGCGAGTCTGAAGACTGCTGTCTTCTGGATTGTAGCGCCATGTAATCTGGTAGAAGCTTTGCCAACATTTCAGAGGTCCTTGATTTCTCCATCGTCAGGGCAACCAGATTTCTCTGAAACAGACTTATACCACACTACACAGCGCTACAACCCTGAAAACAGCAATCTTCAAAGTTTGTCTCCATATTTGCCTTCCCTAGTACAAGCAGTATTGGGCCTTTAATGGAACAATATTTATCAATGTGTGATATGGTAATGCTGTTAACATATTTTGGATCTTACGAGATAATATTTATTAATAGGTGTATATACTATTTTAGATTTTTCCATCATTATTGGCGAGAAATTTACCAGTGGAGTTATAATAATTAATAAAGTATTCTCGGGTAATCAGTCGTGTCAGTCGGTTAGAAATCACCGAAGTTTCAGGGACCATCTGTGTCGCGTCGTACAGAATTATTTATTACATAGTTGTTATACTTTAAAAGAAAGTGATAGTGGCCACGGCTGCGGGTCGGAAAGTGTTTTGTCCACACCCAATTTATCGAAATATACCCGCACGTAACGAAACCCCCCCCACCCCCACCCCACACACACACACACACACTTGCGTTGAATGACGCAACTCGTTATCTGTTACAATCGCCGGGCTCTTGCGGCAACTTCTCCTACTTTGATGTGAAGTGTGCAGTGGGAGTAGCAGGCGCAAATGAATGTGGAGGACCGACAAGGAAAATTAGCCTGTTGCAGTGTAGCGTGATAGGAATAAATAAAACGTAACTTTCAGGGTCGCCATCGTTGTGTATAAATGCAGTGGGAACAGCTTTGTAGAAATTCATTTGTATCTCCAGTAAAACGACGTGTGGACCATTGAGGTATGAATAAGTTCTAAAACAAATGCGCGAAATGAAACTACTCAAAACTCGAGCAGTTTACACGTTCGTTACTGATGCATTTATTGAGCCTGGTCACGGGACGTAATAACTCTGCCAATAAAATAACTGATTATTTACTGGAATGATTAAAAGCCAGATAAGATTGGCGCAGGAACGCTTTCCACGGGGTAAAATCAACCGGAGCTTGAAACTGACCGATTAATACGATACCTTTAAGGGTGACATCATCTCCAATTCTCGTGTACGTCTTGAAGAATTGATACCTATACACTGAGCTTTTCTGCTAGCAGAAGTGACCTTGGGGAATCCCCGTGATGATATTGCCGGTAGACGTGCCCCCACGCTCCGCCCACGCAAAGGCCGTTTACCCGAGGCAACTCTGACACCACAAACACCAGCCGCGACGTTCGAAATTGATGTTTTGACAGAATGGTCTAGCATAACTGCTGAAACAAGGAACAGTGGAGCATTCACGAATTTACAGCGAAAGCGCTATGTGTGTATCTCCTTTCATTGCTTAAGACTTTTTCTCTTTCTATGAGATTGTTTGTGAATAAACCCATTGGCTCTGAGGCCAAAATTGGACGTAGTTGTGGCAACCACTAGGGAAAAATATGTGGATAGAATAGGTTGTAGCTTATTTTTGAGTCTATCCTGTAATTTACATAGAGGTAGTGAAGAAAGAAATTCGTATGGCCTGCACTGGTCGGTTAGTTAGTACTCTATTGGAGCGATCGTTTTGCGGGTGGAATAAAGACACGGCGCAGGTGTTGTGGGTCAGTAGCGGTCAGTCGGCCTGCTGCCATCGGACACCGGTCAGTCAGTGTGACATGGACAAGCAGACGGACGCAGGCGGAGGACACCCGGACATGGAGGTGGAGTTCGAGGTGACCCTCCCCCTCTCGTCG